GATAAAGATTACGTGAGGTGAGTGTGTGGGCTGCAAATGCTGATACTGATTATTCTGGGTCTGCATCATTTTAGTGAAATATATGAGCATACTTTTATGGAAAACATACGTAACACGTAAAACTAATGATTTTCGAGTATTCAAGTTTTTGTCTGCATTAAAACAAGACGAAAGTTTTTCGGATAAAATTATAGATCCTTCCAAGTAAGAAATTAAATATTGCTTTTTCCATCATTCATATCTGACCTATGGTATTCAGCTGAACTATTTCCTCATTTGACCTCACATAATATTGGATATAATGAATCACGGTTATAATTTGGTACTAGAACAATTAGAGCATGAGCATTAATATGGTGCATTCACTTATCTTCGAAATACTTTTCAAGAAATTTAATTTAACTATAGCTGACGGGGCCAGTGTTAATTACCTGAAGTGTGGTGCAACAGATGGTGCATATGCAACCATTGATTTTGGTGCAACTAGCAACAAAAGTGTTGACAATTACTTTGCAATGCAACGACAGTTTACACCTCGAGGTTCCACTTCAAGTTTAATTCTTCAGAATTCTTTAAAACTGATAGAACACTTAGTTTCTCATTCAGTATTAAATTACCAACTGAATACATTATGTAAAGTTTTATCACTTAATTAGTGAAGAAAGTACCTATCAGTTTTGAATAGATCGAAATTGTCTTTTCCAATGTGCATCAGTTCTGCTCGTGTGATTTACTTCCTTCATTTTGTGAATTGATTATTGAAATAATCCATGCATCTAAATTCTTGACAAAAATTAACAAACTGCTTGGATTTCCAGTTTTTCTTAATACTACATTATGGAAAAATTACAGTTTTACAGAAGGTTTGATATTTAGGACCACTGATAAATTCGGAATTCTACCCCGGATGGCTGGTGCTTTGGGGTCAGAAAAAGTCGGTACTTCCATCAATAGATCAAATAATGCAAACAGCTGATTACATGTACCAACTTGGAGCAAGTTTCAATTTTTACATGTTTCATGGAGGCACTAACTTTGGCTTCTGGAACGGAGCTGAGGTCCTTGCTGCGGTTTGTAATTTTTTTTGAAATTTAGCTAAAGTTACGTTTACAAACTTTGTTCTACACATTTCCATAAATTATTCGAACAATTTTTGGGTCCAAATTACTTAATTACATTCTCAAATATTAAAAATAACATTTTTATTAACAAAAACATAGCAAAATTAGCGTCAGATTGTTTCGATCAATTTTATTCACATTGGAATAGAATATTTTGATTGAAAATAATAATTTATTGAAAAATGCTTTTATCAGCTAACAGAATGAGCAATTAATTGCAGTTCAATTTGGGGTTATAATTCAAATGCAATTTTATTTTATTTTACGTTTATAGGTGACCACATCGTATGATTATTCAGCCCCATTAAACGAAGCTGGTGATATCACTCCGAAGTATGTAGCCATAAGAAACTGGCTCGCTAGCAAGCTTGACTGGCCTTATAAACCTGATAAAATACCTTCCAATAATTCGTTAGTAATTGCCTTTGACCACTGTAAATTCATACTGTAGCAAGATATTTTGTAAGCTCAGATAATCCCTGAGTTAGTTCAGATTTACACTCTAAAACTTATCTTCAGTAGTTGAAGTATGAGTATATAGCAGTAAGTTTGCAAGAAGTAATAAAATTTCTTTGATTTAGAAAAATTGGCTATGGTAAAGTGAAATTAAAAAGTGTTTTACCATTTGGCAAACGTTTCTGGAAATCAGTACTGAAAGATCGAAATTGTCGGAGCACAAAATATCCGATATCGTTCGAAGAACTCGAACATCCATTTGGTTGTTATTTTTGCCTGCTTAATTATGCAAATTCTTTCAACGCAGCAATTATAAAAATAGCTAAAATTTTGATATGACTTTGATTTTGTGAATGTATTTTTATTACACAACAATAATTTTACTATTTAATTTTTTTTAATATTTCATAGGTTTTGTGATGTATCATACAAAGCTGAAATTCGGAGGGGTCAATCTCACGGTACCGTTATTGAAAGATCATGGTTTCGTCTTCATTAATAATAGACCTCAGGTTTTGTATTATAATCATCTGTGTACTCAATTACTTTATGCATATCAAGAAATTTATTCCTAAAATAGAGTTTTATGACAAATTGAAAATTATAGGATCTATTAGTAAAGTTAGAATTGATACTTTTGATAAACTAAAAATTGCAGGGTGCGTTTGTAAATATTTTTGGTAATTATTCAAAACATTGGATGCATGTTGAAGGTGCTGAACGTGGAGCCCACCTCTGCATAATTGTAGAAAATCGAGGACGACAAACAATTCCGACTATTAATGACTTCAAAGTATTTAGTATTTTTTCGTGCTTATAAAAGATTTTGCATTAGTGCTTAAAAATAATAACATTTGAAATTATCAAGACTTTTTATACAAAAAAGTTTGCTTATATTTTCACAGCAAAAGTGTGTAAAAATGCAAATCTATCTAATTTTATGTAAGAACTGATAGTTCTATCTAAAGATTTCTGTATTTTTTAAATACAAACCTTGTAAAGGGCATATTATCAAATGTAACGCTTGACGAGAAGATAATAGAAGACTGGCGACAATGTGGCTTAACAACTAAGTTAATGACTTGGATAGCACGACAAGCTTATGATTCAAATCATTCTGATATGGTCTTTACTTTATTATTTTTAATTTTTAGAATTTAATTAAATTGTAAAGGAAGTAATAGAGGTACATAGTGCAGGTTTTTTGAATT